GGGAGGCCGGTGGGTGTGGCTGCCGCTCTCGCGGGCCTCGCATATGCGTCCTCCCCGGTCCCGCCTCCCTGTTTGCCGGCCGGGGGGCGGGGGGCGGGTGGTGCGAGGTTAAAAGGCTTCGAATTGGTCCCTCTCCTGGGATGGTTCCTCCTCTATCTTTTGGTTTTTTCTCTTCTCCCGAACGGATTAACCAAACAGTCAAGATGTATGTTCTCCTTCCTTCTTCTCCCCTCCCTCCCCCCTTTGATTGCCGGACGCCCCTCCCCCCCCCCCCGGCCCCCGCCGCCCCCCTCCCCGACGAGGCCGTCCCACCTCCCCTCCCCTCTCCTGCTTCCCGGCGGCGCTGCCCCTCGACCTGGAGTTTGCCTCTTTCTCCCCGTGCTACGCCACTGGCTCCCCGCCCGCCCGCCTCTCTCTCTTTCCCTCTCTCGTTCATTTGCCCGTTCGCGCGCGTGCGTGCATTAACACGATGATGCCTCTTTGCCGCCCCTCCCCTCGTCCCCCAGGGTTTCCCTCAAGCTCCAGAAGCGCCTCGCGGCCTCCGTCCTCGAGGTCGGCAAGCGCAAGGTCTGGCTCGACCCGTCTGAGATCTCCACCATCTCCGAGGCCAACTCTCGTGCCAAGGTCCGCGGCCTCATCAAGTCCGGCCTGATCACCAAGAACAACACCGTCGGTCAGTCTCGTGCCCGCACTCGCGCTCGCCTCGATGCCAAGCGCCGTGGTCGCCACGCCGGTTTCGGTAAGCGCAAGGGTACCGCCAAGGCCCGCATGCCCGAGAAGGTCATCTGGATGCGCCGCATGCGTGTCCTCCGTCGCCTCCTCCACAAGTACCGTGAGGCCAAGAAGATCGACAAGCACATGCACCACGATCTGTACATGAAGGCCAAGGGTAACACCTTCCGTAACAAGCGTGTCCTCATGGAGTACATCTTCAAGGTCAAGGCCGAGCAGACCCGCAACCGCCTCATCGCCGAGCAGGCCGAGGCTCGCCGTGTCAAGAACCGCGCCCTCCGCGAGCGCCGCAACGCCAAGAAGGCCGAGGTTGCCGTTGTCGTCCCCGTTGTGGATGCCTCCGCCTCCAAAAAGAAGGCTGACCTCCAGAAGTAAGCTCTAAAAAAGCTCCCTTCTCAAATCCGCCCCCCCTTTTCCCTTCTTGTGTGTGAGTGTGTGCCACATTCCGCGCGCGTCCATCCCCACCCCTCCCGTGGACTGCGCGTGTCCATGTGCACGCGCGCGCATTCTTGATCTGTGACCGAGCGATGCTTGTATTGTCTGTGTGTGTGTGTATTTCGCGCTCTCTCCCCCGTTTGTGTGTTTTGTGCCCCTCCAATATATGCTCGTCTTTTGTCGCACACACACACAGCCGCCCGTGTTGGCATTCGCGCTGCTCCTTGCCCTTGTTTTGTCTTCCTGCGTGAAATGGGCATGGTTGGGGGGCGGGCGGGGGGGTGCCGGCGCGGCGACGCTCGGCCGGACCTGTGCCAGGGTTGCCTCTCTGCCCCTCGGCCCCGCAGCCGGGGGGGGGGGGGCGGGGGAGGCGGGACGCGCCAGCGAGCATATGAGGCGCAGGGGCAGAGCAGAGGGGAGGCAGGGCAGGCCGGGTGCGTTGCCACCTGCACCCCGAGGCAGAGGTCACACTGTGTTTGTGGATGTGTGTATGAGTGGATGCCCCCCCGCCCCCCCTCCCCCCTCTGAGCAGGCGCGTCCCTGAGCTTTTTTTGGGCCGCCTCCCCACTCGGTCTCCCTCTGCCTGGGCATGTCCATCCGACGAGTGTCTGCCTTCCCTCATCCCCGTTCTCTCTCCTCGCCGGACTCACCAAGGTACCTGGCATGTCGCATTTTGCCCCCGACGCCCCCGGGTCGGCCCCGATCTTCCGGGAGCAGGTCGACCAGTCCATCATCCAGTTGACGCGCATCATCCACAGCTGCGCAAACAACATCGAGCAGCTGAATGCGCGCCTACTCAGGTATGTCCCGCCGGGTTGTCATTCGCGCCGGCCTCCTCGCTCCCCGCTGCCCCCTTTGTTGGCCCCCCCGGTCTTGTGGCGTCTTCTGACTTGCGGCCCCCCCCCCGCCCCTCGCGCATCGGTCTGGCAGTTTCCTCGAGGCAGGCGATGGGAATGCCCTGGCGCTGGCCGCCATT